AAGGCCCTCGGTAACCGAGATTTGATTCTGGGGACTATGTAATGGCATCACAAAGACTATTCTTGGCACCCTTTGTCTCAGTCTGCTTTAAGGGACAGATTGGGAAACTTGTTTCTTCCTCCTTTTTAAAAAGAGGAATGAGAAACACACTTGACTGGCACTTCCTCCTCAGCAATGGACCTGTCTGACTTCAGTCTGATTTAGCTCCTTTTGTTCCTTATAGAGAACAAAGTAAAATCTCTTCTCAGGTAGCTGTGAGTCTAAGTCCCTTATCCTTTTAAAGAAACAGAGCAAATATTTTTCTTCAGACAGAAGAGAAACTGCAATTGTTTTAGGCCCTTTGACTTCCTGGCATCAGTCCAGCTTTCTCATTTGAACTTTTAGTATGTTTAGGTCCTTGGGAATTGATAGACAAGCTCTTTGGCAAGCCTGAGCTTGAGGTTTTTAGGATTTTTTTTTTTTATAACATACTTGTAGCAGCTCTTTCCTCTTCCAGTTCCTTTAGGAACTTTTTTGGTTGTATCACAGTTTTCTGAATCATACAATGTTTGTGACCTATATTTCCTTCCTCTTGAGTTACACAGCTCAGGTCATATTTTTTCTTTTTGTATGAATTGGACTGCTGCTGTTTTCACCGCATGTTATAAGATTATAAATGGTTTGAATGTATTTCTGTGAAAGTACTTTTATGTCACACTCTTAAGACAAATGACCCTCAAAACTCATTTCTTCTGAACTTCTTTGTATTAGGTAAAAGAATTATGAGCTCAAAAAACAAATTAGACTCCATAAAGGCTTAAAGTGAACTAATGGGAACTGTGTTTCTTGCACCTTCCTGGTTAGTAATTATTCAGCTGTGTGGCAGTTTCACTTCCAGACTTTTGGTGTTAAACCATGAATTGTCAGGGTCACCAAGTAGATTATTTTCTTCCAGTTATTTTGTCCTTAGTTGCTTCAGAAGGTTGGCTTACAGCACGTTGTCATTTTCAGTGTGTACATACTTATTCCGTGCACTAATGAGGGATGAGAGCTCTACCATGAGGATACAGACTAGAGTTTGTTCCTTTGTCACTCCTTAGGGAACTTTGCTGTATGTGTCTAGGAACTTGGAGCTGTGTCTTTCTGTAAAACCTTTCTGACTTTTTACATTTTAATATGGCAGGGAGAAAACTCCTTTCGGCACAGGCTATAAATATGTTTCCTTCTGTCTGTATTTGGATACATCTAGTTGTGTACTTTTCAGATTGCAGCCATTTGTGAAATGTAAAGAGCCCATTGTTGTTTCACTTTTTACAGTAAGCATTTATTACTTTTTAAATTTAAAAAGTGAAAGGAACACTGCCTTTTCTAATTATTAAATCACTTATAGTCTACCAGCTAAAGACAACCATGGTTAGTATTTATATTTCTTTTGTATCATTATATTCCAAGATATATATTATATATATATATATTTTTTTTTTTTTTACAAAATTGGGATCATACTGTATATGTAATTTTGTATTCTGCTTTTTTCACTTAAGAGGTATTTTTTTCACATCATTAAATATTTTTATTTATTTTATTTATTTATTTATTTTAAAAAGATTTTATTTATTTGACAGAGAGATACAGTGAGAGGAGGAACACAAGCAGGGGGAGCGGGAGAGGGAGAGCAGGCTTCCGGCAGAGCAGGGAGCCCGATGCGGGGCTCAATCCCAGGACCCTGGGACCATGACCTGAGCCGAAGGCAGACGCTTAACGACTGAGCCACCCAGGCGCCCTCATCATTAAATATTTTTAAAATAAACTTCTAATAGGTAATACATTTCAAAAATAAAAATGACACAAAACGAAAATATTTGAGAAGTCTTGCTTCCATCTTTGTCTCCATTCATCTTGTCCCTTCAGTCCCTAATGAGTGACCATTTAATTTCTTCTCTTATTCAAAAGGAGCACTATACATAGTGCTCTGTACTTTGCTTTTCCCCTCTCTTCACAATATTTTATCTTGGAGATCTCTTGTTATCAGTACCCAGAGAATCTTCCTTACCATAGATTAGTCATCTAGTACCCTTTTTACATAGACACTTGGGTTGTCCCCAGTTTGTGCTATTATAAACAATAAGACAGAAGTAGTAATTAAAGGGGGAAAAAACCCACTTACTCTGCTTCAGTTTTTAAGGCAAAGTTCTTTCCAAAAGAATGCCAGCTAATAAATGTAGAAGTAATGATGGAATTGGAAAAATCAACATTTTTTCAGCCCCTAAATGAAATAATTCAAGAAGGAATCATCAGTGACTGCTAAACTATTAAGCAAAAAGTTGAGAAGGAGCCAAATATTAGCCACAGATTGCTAATTGTAAAGGAGGGACTGTACCTTTATAGAGAGCTCTTTCAATTACAGACTCAACCAAGTTGTCATATTTTGCCAAACGATCACATAATTTACCATGTCCCACTAAGTGGGACAGCCTGACAATATGTGCCACTGCTGTGCTTCATCGTGTGGTACATACATAGCATCACCTGTGAGGCATTCTTGCCAGAAACTGCTCAACCTAAATCTAATCAGTGTTTTAGACCTAACCTTCTGTTTATAGGAAATGTAAGGGATAGAGAGGTAAGCTAAATGACACTGTGAAGAAACAAACAGACAAAACTGAGATGTAAGACATTGTCCAAGTCATGTGTCCTGGGCTTTATTTTTTTATTTTTTTATTTTTATTTTTTAAAGATTTTTTTTATTTATTCATTTGAGACACAGAGATACAGAGAGAGAGAGAGGGAGAGAGAGAGGGAGAGAGCATGAGCAGGGAGAGAGGCAGAGGGAGAGGGAGAAGCAGGCTCCCCACTGAGCAGGAAGCCTGATGCGGGGCTCTATCCTAGGACGCTGGGATCATGACCTGAGCTGAAGGCAGACGCTTAACCATCTGAGCCACCCAGGCACCTGTGTCCTGGGCTTTAAAAAAGCTTGTGTTGGGGGCACGTGGGTGACTCTTGATTTCGGCTCAGGTCATGATCTCAGGGTCATGAGATCAAGCCTTGTGCGTTGGGCTCTGAGATGCGGGTGGAGCCCGCTTAAGATGTTCTCTCTCTTGGGGCACCTGGGTAGCTCAGTCATTGGGCGTCTGCCTTCGGCTCAGGTCATGATCCCTCAGTCCTGGGATCGAACCCCTCATTAGGCTCCCTGCTCAGTGGGGAGCCTGTTTCTCTCTTTGCCTGCTGCTCTGCCTGCTTGTGCTCTCTCTCTGTCAAATAAATAAATGAAATCTTAAAAAAAAAAAAAAAAGATTCTCTCTCTCCCCCTGCCAGTCCCCCTCTAAAAAAATAAGCTCATGTCGTAAGTAAGTAAATGTAAAACCAACCAAGGCAAAACTTGGAGGCCATTCTAGAGTAAAAGAGACTAAAGAGACATGACATCCAAATTCATTGCTTGAGTTTTGGTTGGATTGTTTTTTTTTTTTTTTTTGTAAGCCAACTATTAAAGACATTTTTTAGACAGTTGGGAACATTTGAATAAGGACTGAATATTAGATGATAATCAGTGTACTTACTGGTATTGTGGTTATGAAGTCAAATGTCCTTATTCCTAGCAGATGCACAATGAGGTATATAGGGTTAAAGCATCTTGAAACCTGATGAAATGGTTCAGAAAAAAGTAAAAAGAACAACACAAATGTAGTGTGTTCATAGAGCCAGATAAAGCAGATGTGACAAAATATTAACAATTCTTGAGTCTAAGTTGTGAATAGTGTGTTTATTGTATTATTTTTTCCAACTTTTCTGCACATTTGAAATTTTTCATAACAGTTGAAACAGTGCTATAGTGAATAACATTTTACATGTATTTTTCTGAAATGCCATTTTTTTGGGTTGCATATTCTTTAATTGTTGCATGTGTGTATATTTTGCTGCTGGTTGACATTTTAGTTGAATTTTTATTTTGTGATAGTTTTATGCCCTTATGGCTTAGTGGATGAGAAAAAGGAATTAAATTTTTTTCTTCTCTTTTATCCTCTCTCTGCTGCTCTGGAACTTTAGTGGAGAAAGAAAAAGAGAGTGAGAAAGCTACCCCAAAGCAGTCCTCATGCACATGCTTTTAGGTAGGAGATAGAGTTGAAGCTATTGCATAAGAACCAGAATTCGGAGCTCCTGGGTGGCTCAGTAGGTTAAGCATCGACTCTTGGTTTCAGCGCAAGTCATGATCTCAGGGTTGTGAGATCGAGCCCCGCGTTGGGCTCTGTGCTGGGCATGCAGTCTGCTTAAGATTCTCTCCCCCCCCCCCCCAAAAAAAAGAGAGAGCTAGAACTCAAGTAATGACCTTTTAAAATTGGTTACCTGTTCTTTGGCTTGGAGGCTGCCCAAGTGATAAGGAGGGGGGCTGGTGGCTAGGGAGGCAGTGTGGTGCAGAAGGGAGGGCAGGTGCTGTGTTGTGTTTTGTTTTTGACAGGTTTTTAGAATTTTATTAGTAACAAAAGTTCTTCCTGCCTGATAAAATAATAAGAGTAACTGCTTTAGAGAATGATCTATTCTTTAGATATAAGCCTGAGCTACTGAGGATATGAGAAAAATTTAAGGATGAAATATTTTTGTTACCATATATGTTAATTAACTAGAATTTAAAAAAAAAAACTTGGAAAAAAAAAAGCATGAAATATTTTTGGAAAAAAAGTTTTGGGTGGCGCCTGGGTGGCTCAGTTGTTGCGCGTCTGCTTTCAGCTCAGGTCATGATCCCAGGGTCCTGGGATCGAGCCCTGCATCGGGCTCCCTGCTCCACGGGAGGCCTGCTTCTCCCTCTGCTGCTCCCCCTGCTTGTGTTCCCTCTCTCCCTGCCTCTCTCTCTGTCAAATAAATAAATAAAATCTTAAAAAAAAAAAAGTTTTGGGAGGAGGGTCTTTCCTGAGAGAGTGTCATTAAATGAAAAAATACTTAGCTCTTTGAGCTAGAATTGTATTTGCAGTGGGAAGCTTCTCTGATTGCAGAATAGATGTTCTTTGACTTTAATGTCCATCCTTTAGATTTCCATGAAGACAACTTACAAGGACCTGAATGGCTTCATTTTAGCTGCTTCAGCTTGTGGAGCTATTGCTTGCTCCTTCTCTTCCTGTGCCTGGTGTGACAGTGGCTGCTGAGCGCCATGAAGGTGGTTCCAGAGAAGAATGCTGTCCGGATACTCTGGGGGCGAGAACGGGGCACTCGGGCCTTTGGAGCGCAACGGCTTCTGCAGGAGCTAGTGGAAGATAAAACTCGGTGGATGAAATGGGAGGGCAAGGTAGGAAGAACATATTTTTGACGTTGGGTTTGTAGGGGTGACCATAGAATGGGGTTTTAGAATGGGCTAATGATGTAGAGTGGGGGTGTAATTTATTTTGTGTGAGGGAATTGATATATCTAACTTAACGGAGTTTAAAAAATAAATTTGGAAGAATTTATGGGCTAGAAATATCTTTTCCCTTTAGAGCTAAACATTTTTCTTAAAGGTATTTTGGATTTCTTTCTCTCAACTTGTGGCTTGATCATTGTCTCCAGTTTTTTAGCTTATACTGAATACTAATCTACAGTGGCTCGTGTGCTTTTGAGAAAGAGTGAGCCATAGTTTATAAATAATGTATCTTAACTTTTTTTGGTTTGTTTTTCAGAGGGTAGAACTGCCAGATAGTCCACGCTCTACCTTCTTACTGGCCTTCAGCCCAGACAGGTACCTGGTGCTTATCTATAACTTAAGACTTGGTACAGCATTGCTTTCTGTATATTGGTCCGAGCTTGGTAACATCCCTAAGGGTTCTTTGAAGCTTTGCATGAACAGAGCTTTGCCAGAAGGGGAAAGAAAGTAGATGAGCAGTGCTAACCATAGAAATAATGGGGATAAGCAAAGGAAACAATGGACCTTGAGCATCTAAACTTGGAAAGTTTCTCAATTACAATCCTTTGCCGGTGTGATATAGGCCACTGATGGCATGGATTATTTTTCAGCTGGGAAAAAATAGTCTCTGAAGGGGATCTGTGTCATTTGGGGACAGTGTAGAGAAGCCAAAGCTTTTAAAGATCAGAATACTTCTGTTGTTTGTGATGCCTAAGGTGTAGTTTTTCCACATTGGGGTGGGGAATACTCGAAAGCCGATTATCCAGAACTGATAAAGTTTGTTACCCTCCTACATGCTTCACATTCATTTCCTACTCTTTGCTTCCCTAGGACTCTGTTGGCCTCCACCCACGTGAACCATAATATCTATATTACGGAAGTGAAGACTGGCAAATGTGTTCATTCTTTGATTGGACACCGCCGTACTCCATGGTGTGTCACTTTTCATCCCACCATCTCAGGCCTTATTGCTTCTGGCTGCCTAGATGGGGAGGTCAGGATTTGGGATTTGCATGTAAGTATTTCCATTTCTTTGGTATTCTAAATGCAGAGAGTTGTTTACCATTGAGTTCTTAACTGGAGGAGAGACTAGCCAGGTTCTTAGGACTACCTCTGAGTAAGTGGTATTCGTTGCCCACTTAAATAAGGGGAAGTCTAGTCCCTATTCCTCCGTTCTAAGATGAACACCCTATTTAACTATTCTTCCATCTGCCCATTGTGACATAGTATAGGAGGTTCTAAAATATGTTCAGGATAGATGCTTTTTTTTTAGAGCAAGGATTGTACTGTATTCTGATCATGATTGCCAAAGCAGTATGCTTCTTGTCCTGATGACTTGCTAGTGGGTTGTTGTGCACCATGTCATGCACCAAGCATGCGTTTTCACAGGCTTCAGAAGCAGGAACTGTGTGGATGCTCATTGCTTTGGATTGTAGATGCCTTGGCGAACTGAGCTGACAGTAATAATTTTCTGATAAATTGGTGACACTGCCAGATCACTGATTTTCTACATTTTACAGTGGACATATTTAAAGTAGGCCCTATAAGTAGTCATTTTACCTTAAATGGTCCTTTCTTGAAATTGACATCCCAGTCTGCTATCAGTTTGTAACCTGAGAATATTTGGGATTGGTTCATTTATAGGGTGGCAGTGAAAGCTGGTTCACAGACAGCAACAATGCCATTGCTTCTCTGGCTTTCCACCCTACGGCTCAGCTCCTGTTGATTGCCACTGCCAACGAGATCCACTTCTGGGATTGGAGTCGGCGGGAGCCCTTCGCTGTGGTGAAGACAGCTAGCGAGATGGAACGGGTCCGGTGAGTGCTCTGCCCACCAGCAATGTCTGGCATAAGACTAACATGGCAGAGAACATTTACACTTGCTGTCACCTCAGGAAGCAGTTTGCTATACCTGCTCAGAGCAGGTGGTTATCTGTACAGCTCTTTCAACTTTTTTTTTTTTTTTTTTTAAGATTTTATTGATTTATTTGAGAGAGAGACAGAGATATCGAGAGGAGAGCATGAGTGGGGAGGAGAGGGAAAAGTAGGCTCCCGCTGAGCAGGGAGCTCCGTGTGGGGCTCGATCCCAGGACCCTGGGATCATGACCTATGCTGAAGGCAAATGCCCAACCGACTGAGCCACGCAGGTGCCCCACTCCTCCGACTTTTTAAGCTGCTGGCCAATCTAGTTCATTTTAGCTGTTTCTGATTGGTCTCATCTCCTGGTCTCTGTAGACTAGGGTTGTTAGAATGTCTTTTAGGTTCAAAACTATCTGGGTTTGGGGTAAGGCCCTTTTTTGGGAAACCTGAAAGGTGTTCAGGTGGAGGTTAACTTGGCGGGAAGTTGCTAACATCAGTTATTTGTGTTTATCAAACTGGAAAATGGAGATGTCAAGTGTATCAGATCTGCTAATTGATATTTAGCCCTCAAGATCAAAACACACATTGCCTGAATTAAAGTTGATGCATTGGTTTTCTTTGGTCCTCTTGGTATTGAGGTTGGATATAAGAAAGTTTTCTAGTCTCAGCTATGTCACTTGGTGCTGAGACTGTCCATTGTCACCAGAACTCCTGCTTCTTGCCAGTGTAGCTGCTTCGTGAAGGAAGAACTAACTAACCCTGTGGCAGGGTATGGGAGTGTGCTACGCTTTACTGTTATGATAGGCTCTTCGCTATGAACAAGCATTTGTCTAATGCAGCTGCTTCTTGGTACCGAAGCCTAGATGCTTTTTGAAATTATTTTTGTGATACATATTCCCTTATTCTGGCAAGTGTGAGGAGGTACCAAGAAGTATTGAGCCCTATTATTTTGATCTCTTTGAAAGTTTTGAAAGTTTCTAGCATGAAGTGGATACCTGGGTAATCCCACAGTTATCAGTAGTGATTGCTATACATTTGAACACAGGCTTCCTCTTCTCAGTTAACATCTGTGTGTGTCTGTCTTTCTCTTTTGTGTTTTCAGTCTGGTGAGATTTGATCCTCTTGGACACTACTTACTCACAGCCATTGTTAACCCCTCTAATCAGCAGGTAAGTTAGTCAGCAGTTCCAACTCCACCTAAACTGGGAGTGGTTTTCTAAACTAGCGTTCCAATTCCGATTATATTGGACTTGTAATTTGTAATGCCCAAGTGTTTCTTTTTCAGTCGAGATTGAAAACTAGCTTTGGACTGCATATTTAAAGTGCTAGTCATAGTCTTGACGTGGGAGTCCATTCTGAAACCCCCAGTGATCACCTTATTCGAAGTAGTGTTGGATAGCTTGTCATTTTTGTGCCTCTGGTGGTTGACATTTTTGCTTCCCTCACTGCCTCCGTGTCAGAGAGATGCACTTTGTAAAAGAATTGGTTTGCCCCCTTACCCATTCAGAAATGTCACTAATTGGAAGTGAATGATTTAATTCCATAGGATGATCCTGAAGCTGAAGCCAGTTAGTCCTCAGTGCTTCAGGGTAGGGTTATTGTCTCTCCATGAAGATTGTTTTCCTTGGCTGGTTGTCAGTAGTTAGTTTTCCTTGATTTACCTGGAGGTTCTACCTAACTGCCTCGCTCTCCCCCTGCCCCACCTCGCTCCACATTGCAGGGTGATGATGAACCAGAGATCCCAATAGACGGAACAGAGTTATCCCACTACCGTCAGCGTGCCCTGCTGCAATCACAGCCAGTTCGCCGGACGCCTCTCCTCCACAATTTCCTGCACATGCTGTCCTCCCGCTCCTCTGGCATCCAGGTGGGAGAGCAAAGCACAGTGCAAGATTCTGCTACCCCCTCACCCCCACCGCCTCCCCCTCAGCCCTCCACGGAGCGCCCCAGGACTTCCGCTTACATCCGGCTCCGACAGCGGGTCAGTTACCCCACAGCTGAGTGCTGCCAGCACCTTGGGATCCTGTGCCTTTGCAGCCGCTGCTCTGGCACTCGAGTTCCTTCCCTCTTGCCACACCAGGACAGTGTCCCCCCTGCTTCTGCCAGGGCTACTACCCCTTCCTTTTCTTTTGTACAGACCGAGCCCTTCCATCCCCCGGAGCAGGCCTCGTCAGCGCAGCAGGACCAGGGCCTCCTGAACCGGCCGTCTGCCTTCAGTACAGTCCAGAGTAGCACTGCCGGCAACACGCTCCGCAACCTCAGTCTGGGTCCCACCCGGCGCTCTTTGGGAGGCCCTTTGTCCAGCCACCCTTCTAGGTACCACCGAGAGATAGCTCCTGGGCTGACAGGGTCCGAGTGGACCCGGACAGTGCTCAGTCTGAACTCCCGCTCTGAGGCGGAATCCATGCCTCCGCCCAGGACCAGTGCCTCTTCGGTGAGTTTGCTGTCTGTGCTGAGACAGCAGGAAGGTGGCTCCCAAGCGTCTGTGTACACTTCAGCCACAGAAGGGAGGGGTTTTCCAGCTTCAGGGCTGGCCGCTGAGTCAGATGGAGGAAGTGGCTCCAGCCAGAACAACTCAGGCAGCATTCGCCATGAGCTTCAGTGTGACCTGAGACGCTTCTTTCTGGAATATGACCGGCTTCAGGAGCTGGACCACAGCCTGAGTGGAGAAGCCCCCCAGACCCAACAGGCCCAGGAAATGCTCAATAACAACATTGAGTCCGAGAGGCCAGGCCCCTCCCACCAGCCCACCCCACACAGTAGTGAGAACAACTCCAACCTGTCCCGTGGCCACCTGAACCGCTGTCGCGCTTGCCACAACCTCCTGACCTTCAACAACGACACCCTGCGCTGGGAAAGAACCACACCCAACTACTCCTCTAGCGAGGCCAGCTCCTCCTGGCAGGTCCCCAGCACCTTCGAGGGCATGCCATCGAGTGGCAGCCAGCTGCCACCCCTTGAGCGGACTGAGGGCCAAACGCCCAGCTCCAGCAGGCTGGAGTTGAGCAGCTCTGCTAGTCCGCAGGAGGAGAGGACTGTGGGGGTGGCCTTCAACCAGGAGACGGGCCACTGGGAAAGAATTTACACCCAGTCTAGCAGATCTGGAACTGTATCACAGGAAGCCTTACATCAGGATATGCCCGAGGAGAGCTCTGAGGAAGATTCACTCAGGAGGTAAGCAGGTGCTTTCTTGTTTTCTCCTGCATCCCTTACTTTTCTCCTTACGTCTCTTCCTTCAGTCCTGTAGATGTTGTGGCTGGATCTGGAGTGTCTGGAACCCATGCATCTGGTTTTGGTCTCCCTGATGTCCATTGCATCTTCTTGGAAAATCTTGCTCTGGTGGCAGAGATAGAATGGGGCCTAACAGTATAAGTCACTTGGTTCTGCTAGCTCCTTTTCTGGCTAAGCTCGTGAGACCTTTAGCCTTAAAGGAGAACGTAGATCAGGTTAGAGGCACGAGAGGAGTTAGAGCCATTGACTTCCTTTGCCCTGCTTTTTGACCTTCTTGGAGGATTGTATGTGCAGCACTAGTTACTGTGAAAAAAGAAAATGTCCCAGAGCGCTTAGGAATAAGTAGTGAAAGAGAATCCTGCTTGGTACAGATTAGTGTATTGGCTCTTTTTCAGTCGTGTCTCTTTGGACAGCTGTGTTCATCTTTTAAGCCCTATCTTTTGGAATATTGCAACTTGACAAAAGGGAAAAGAAAATAATACATACATATACATACATACATATATGTATATAAAAATATATTATTTTTTAGATAGCAAATTAGTTGCTTAGTTAAGATTCTTTGAGGAGATCTTCCAGATGGACATTCACCTCAAGGTGGGGAAGAATAATAATTCATAGAAGGAAGGCCTCTCCATACTCAGATCAGCATCCCAGGCAGCTCTTCCATGGAAGAAACAGAGTGGGTGTAGCTGACCGCCCACCACATGTTCCATGTATGGCTATGTGCGCATCTATCTTGATTTATTAGGGACTTCTTTCTGTAATTCTGTAAAGGTCACATCTAGCGTAATCACCAACTCCCAGAATATGCCTGTTGGATCCAAACAGCATATTGCTCTGCATTACATCCTCTGGTGAAGCAACTGAAATTTCTGACATAAGCTTCTAACAAGGGTGGGAATATGGATTGTGCACATAATGTACTTTTTATTTTGGGAGAATGCTTTAGAGAGAGTTACCCAGTTAATAAGTATTTGTTGAACGGTTACAATTTTTCCAGCACTGTGCTAGGCACTGTAGGGAATACAAAAGAAGTATAATACCTGGTCTTTACCAGCTGGGAGTGTTATTATAGAGGCAGGACTTATTTACATGCAATTATATAAAAAATGTAGATGACCCAAATGCTTCATTGTGTGGTACTGAGATTAAATGCAGTCTCATTTCAGAGAAAGGGAAGTACCATCAGAGGAGGCTGTACAAAATCAAGTCTTGAAAGATGGGTAGGATTTGGAAAGGGAAAGACCTTTGTATTTTAGGGGACCAGCACATTCTAAGACAGGAAAGAACATGTTCAGTGCAACATGGTAGTTACTAGGGGCTGTTGCTGAGGGGAAGATAGGACACTTGGTTGGATATGAAAGATAGACAAAACAATAGAGATTGTTACTATGCTCATATAATTGAGACCAATTCTGGATTAACATCTCCTAAATTCCCAGCTTTGGAATATTTTGCCTTGTATAATGACCCATATTAGGAACCTGAGACTTACTCCTCTTTGTCAAGAGAGGTGGGAAGGTAGCAAGCATAGCGCCTGACATAGAGTAGGCATGCAAGAGGTTTATGAAAGGTAGTTGTAAAAGAACGGTCTTCAGTTACTGCTCTAAAAGCCTCCCAGGACCAGTTTCCATAGTACCCGTGGGCTTCTGGTCAGTTAGCCTTTGTGCATTCTGTTTTGGCAGTACCTCTTCTGGTGTTGTTCTGAGAAATACCTGAGTGGTTTAAAGTAAACTCTATTTGATAATAATAAGAGAGACCAATTACTGAGGGCCTACTATGTGTTAGGTACTGTATCTTTGCATTAATTATTTCTAATTTCCACCATAACTCTGCAAGGCAGGTATTAAATGTCTCATCTTACATTTGAGGAAAGTGAGGCTCAGAGAAGTCGAGTTTCTTGTTAAAGATCCCTAAGTAGGTTGCTGAGTGGGGATTTGAATTCTAGTTTGTATGACTACAGATTTTTCTAAGCTGCCAACCATGGTATATTCCTTAGTATGATACCTCATTTTTAGGTGAACCATTTTTATTTATTTTTAGTTTCTTTTAGTTTTTTTATTATGATAATCTTCAAACATATAAAAATAAAGAGTAAAGTATAAGTGAATTTTCATATACCTATCATCTGACTTTAGAAATTATTAACACTTGTCCAGCTTTCATTCATCTGTATCCCCTGTTCACTCCCCCGACCCCGACATCATATAATTTCATCTGAAAATACTCTAATCTGTTTCTCTAGAGCAATGCTGTCCAATAAAACTTTCTACAGTGATGTAAGTGTTCTGTATCTGTGCTGTCCAGTATGGTAGGCATTAGCCACATGTGGCTATTAAGCATTTGAAATGTGGCTAGTGTGAGCTGAGGAGCTACGTGTACATTTTAAAATTTTAACTAAATGTAAATAGCCACGTGTGATTAAAGTATTAATCACTTCTTAATAAAAGTACTGTTTAAAACCCAGAAACTGGGGCGCCTGGGTGGCTCAGTTGGTTAAGCAACTGCCTTCGGCTCAGGTCATGATCCTGGAGTCCCGGGATCGAGTCCCACATCGGGCTCCCTGCTCGGCAGGGAGTCTGCTTCTCCCTCTGACCCTCCTTCCTCTCATGCTCTCTGTCTCTCATTCTCTCTCTCTCAAATAAATAAATAAAATAAAATAAAATAAAAGCATTAAAAAAAAAAACCCAGAAACTATGTTTGTGTTTTAAATAAAAAAGTTCAAATGTTTAAAAATGTAGGCTGTAGTAAATGAAAGCCCTTGCCATCTTGCTGCAAACAATTGTGTATATATATTTTTTCTTTTAAAAATATACAAATAATACATGGTTTCGTTGTAAAATATAGTAGTTACATGATTTATGGAGTCACTTGAGCTAGGATGAGATGTACTGTGGGGGCTGACAGCCTCCTCAAAAGTGAGGTACATTGTAAAATATTCCAAGTGCATAGCCTTTATAGAAGGGCCATCACTTCCTCATAATTTGAGTGGCTGCATTCTAGTGTAAATTACTAATACATACAGGTGCTACTCAGTATCTTCTGCCACCTTCAAAAAGGGACCTGATGTTCTCTAGCTGACGAGCTGGCCCTTGCTTGGATTTCCCCAGCAGGTGTCACTGTTGGGCTGTTGCTGCCGCTAGACTAGGCTGGCCGGCAGGAATGGAAGGTGTCCTTAGTCTACTTGAAGGGAGAAGGTTTATTCTTTGGCCTTGTAGTAGGAGATAGACAAAAGAAGCATATTTTGATCTTCGGTGCTGCTGATTTAATTAATAATGTTTGCAAATAGAATATTGAGCACAAGTGTGTATTAAGCACAAGTGTGTATAGTTCTGTTACTGAGCTGTGATAACCAGTTCACAGTTTGTCTCCTTTTGCCTGTGGGCAGTAGAGGGCAAGCTGCCTGTGTAGTCTTGACTCCAGCTTACAACTTATAGCTTGGGTGGCAGGCCTTTTCCTCACCACCAGGAACTTTTTTTTTTAAAGATTTTATTTATTTATTTGACAGAGAGAGAGACACAGTGAGAGAGGGAGCCACAAGCAGGGGGAGTGGGAGAGGGAGAAGCAGGCTTCCCGCAGAGCAGGGAGCCCGATGTGGGGCTGGATCCCAGGACGCCAGGATCGTGACCCAAGCCAAAGACAGACACTTAACCAACTGAGCCACCAGGCGCCCCCAGAAACTTCTTTTTGGGTCTAATAGCCCAGGATCTAGTAGAAGATCAAGGTATTATGGCTCCCTGCAGCTTGCAGCGGGAGTCCCTGTGGCTTCGAAAGGCTGGTATTAGGAAAAAGAGAAAATTATTTAAATGGCATCTTAAAACTGGAGAAAACCTAGAGTGTATTTAGTCCAGCCTCTTTTTTTTTTTTTTAATAGATGAAAAAACTTAGATGGGCAGAAATGACTTTTTAAGAGGTGCTTATAACAACGGTGGGATTCAAACCCTTAGGTCCTAAAGAGGGCACTCTTTCCTCCTCTTCATTTGCAATTAGTGCTTTCACATATTCAGTTTTCTCTATCGGAACCTCTGTTGCTCCTATAGATCATTGGCGAGGGGGGAGTGGGTTCTTAAGTCAACTCTCTTGTAAGATATTGGAGGTCTAATAGATCATTTGTAATTATTGTCTCTCTGTAAAAATATAACCAATACAATGTTTTAGGGATACAGGAGAAACACTGTTTTAGTTAATAGCCCATAGAACTGCATTGATGAGTTTTTTTGAAGTGATCCCAGTTTGGGAAGTTCACTGTAAAAATCCCAACGAACGGGATATCAAAATCTGGGCCAAATCTTCCTCAACTAAATTATGTCTGCATTCCTTCTCCAGAAAGGTGACAAGGCCTTTCGTCTGAAGTATTTAGTAAGATTGTGTTCTGAGAACTGATGTCTTTTGATCTGCACTTTTCCCTTATGATAAAAGACGATTGGGGAAATTTGGCCCAGAACATTGAAGGTTAGAGTTGGAACCCCGCATTTGATTTCTCAGTTTTTTTAGACTTTGTGAGGGAATTGCTTTGGAGTTGGAGCAGTCTGAAGCCTCTTGAGGCTTTGTGGGCCAACTAACTTGTTTGATGCCTCAGCACTAGTCACATGGGGATTTTCCAGAGAGTGCTCAGCAGAAACATCATTGATAGAAAAAATAAATGGATATATCTGCAGGTCTAATCATAGGTCCACAAGAGGGAGAAGGTGACCTAGAAATTAGGAAAGCACCAGTCTTTTCAGCTTGATCATAATAAAGACAGGGGTCCATCTTTAGTGCTTTGCTGTGCCACTGACCTTACTGGATCTAAAGAGTTTATATATATAAAATCACTTTTGGTTTCTTTGGGTGGGAGTATACTCAATTTATTATTCAAAACCTAAAACAGCTGTCCCCTTTTCCTTTGAGAAAACTTCACTGAATGTCCCAAATAATCACTTTCTCTTTGTTGCTTGTAC